GCACTTCTTCAGTATGCCATTATAGCTTGTTATTGGGGTCAGCCATAGAGTTTATACATTTACCCATTGCATTGTTTTGCTGATAGACATTCAGAAGGACTTTATAAACTTTATGTGATTTTGTTGTGGTTTAAAATCCTGCTGCAGTGTTGTTTCAAAATGGGTTATTTTTCAGTACTTTTTCTGTTGGCTTGAATATACACTCATATGAAATATTCTCCTTAACTGGCAATTGTAGTCTTGGACTTCAATTTTGTTAGTTTTGTACAAGCACAGTGTGCAATGAACCAGTGATGATGTATGTCTTGCCAAAATGTTTTAGGACCAGAAATGGTAGAAAATGGTGAACATAAATGTAGGCCTCGAAGGTGTGGTTTTTATCTGTTTGTTTTTGTTGTTGTTTTTTTTTTTCCCTTGGACTCTTGATGTTCTTTAAATCAATTTAAGTAAAATTCTAACAAAACAGAACAAAATATTTCTTAACAACAGATTTTAACTTTATATGGTGAGATGTCTGCTGGTTAACTGGACCTTTCAGATATGTTTTATGGTCAGTAATGGATATTTGACTCCCTTTTGCAAATTTCTAAAAGCCTTTCAGCTTAAATGCTTAAAGGTGTTCTGACATCTAAGCAGAAATTATTTTGTAGTCCAACAGTGCTTCCTAAATTCAATGATTAGTGATGGAATTGTATGCAGTTCATCACAAACTAGCCTAGCAGCAAAACTGTTTCAACAGTAATATCTTGGGATCGAAACTGCTGCCAAGGAAATAAATCACATGTGGAAACTCCTGCTTGAAGTGTCTATGTGTGTTTGGGGAAACTCCCTTTACAGCTGCCTGCAGCACAAGTGTCAGCAGGAATAGGACTTTGGCAATCGTGTTTGTACTTCTGCTTTAAATAAGTTACGTGACTTATTTAAACTAGGGTCTAGTTTAAATTGTCCTATGAGTACTGATTAAAGATATGTGTTAACATAGCTGTGTTTACAGCCTTTTTTACAGGGACTTTGTATATAGTTATCAGTTCTATATACCGTCCATCTGGTTTGAATAGTAAATGAGAACAGAAGTCTTGCCTTGGTAACATGTCGTTTAAATTTATTTGAAAGAAACATGATAAGCAGCAAAAACATTTAACACCTTGCCTTCCATTTTAAGTGTTACTTATGCCAAGTGTTACTGGTACAGTCTGACTGGCATAGACTTGACACCCACTTATCTTGCTGGGTGAATGCTCCTGTACAGTTTTGAGGGGCCCTTTGATTCAGTAGAAATCCCTTAACTTGAGAAGCTGCTCATAATAAAATTGTCAACATACAAAATTGACAACATAGAAAATGATGCTAGATAGCTGTGCTGATCTTAATTCAATCCTTATTTGCATCAGGATAAAGCCTTAGGCTAGCTGATGTAAGAGAATCTGTTAAATTATAATGGTCTTATATTAAGAGTTTGCAGAAGGTTCTTCTCTTCCAGCTGCACACTCTAATTTGAGGGTTTTTTACAAGCTATGCACATACTGCAAATATTTTGTACTTTGGCTTGCAGACATTTGAGCAATATGACATTAACCAGATCCCAAAATCAAAGTTGGTATATCATCTACTAGGACTTGTGCCAAGCTGTTGAAGCAATCAAGAGAAGTTACAACTTTGTTTTAAAGTTGATAGGCTCTTTCTCTGAAATAAGGCTTACTTATTGCAGGCCAGTGCTGGCTGCCATTTTTGAAGTTCCAAGCCAGTAATATGTCCATAGATGTTCAGAGTTTAAGTGCAGTGGGGTATAAATAGAAACTCAGAAGCTTTTTAACCTGAAGTATCTCTCAGTTTTAGATTGAATACGTATTATCAAAGCTTCAGCTACCTTTTTAAATACATATTAGTAAATAAGTAAAAATATTAAGTCATAATCAGCTCTTCCTAAGCAAGCTGAATACAGCCATGGTAGTTGAAGTTTAAAGAACAGGAATTCTTTTGGCATTTAGAAAGAGATTTGCAGAACTTCTGGCCTAATTTCTCCCCTTTGTTGCTGATTTTATTTTTGTTTTCTATTTTAATTGTAATTCTGCAGGTCACCCAGCAGAAGTAATTCCGATGTGTGCTTATTGATGTTTTCCTGGGCCTGCCTTACCTAGCAGAGGGAGAATCCAGGCAAGTAATGTACGCTTGCTCTTGCAATTGGCAGTCGTGGAGTATACACTTAACAAATACATCATGTCTCAATATAGTGGATTTCTTTCCACTGTGATCTAGCAACTTAGGACTAAGCTAGTTTGGTAGAGTTAATGAAGGAATAAAACTCATCATAAGCTGCTCCTGATTCAAGCTTATTAAAGTCAGTAAAACTTGAACAGAATGTGGCCTTTAATGCTTTGCTATACTGTAGGCTTTTATAGAAGTATATAATGTATGAACTGTTAGGTTATTCTGAGCAGAACTTGACTACCGAGCTGACTACTTGCAGCTGAAGTGGTTTTCATGCTACTTCATTTTTTTTTATTGCTCTGTTAGTCTTTCTGCCTCGCCTGTTGCCACGATTGTTTTGTGCTGCTTTTATTTACAGTTCATTCTTGCAGTTTCCTGTAAATTGGTCTGCAAAAAGAAGCTCTCTTGCTGCAGGGACAGCTCAATGTTCAGCTAGGCTAGTGAATTTATATTGGCAAGGACAACATAGTGCTAGAGGTATATTTTATTGCTCTTGCTTTCCTTTAATTAAGGATAAGTAGGATTGCTTTGGACTGGGAGCAAGAGCTGTTCCTAACAGTGGTAGAGATGGTTGGCTGACTTCCTCGGACAGTGGCCCTACTGGAATGAAATCCAAATGGTGGTTGCTGATGCTTTGGTTCTTCCTTTTAAGGCTGCGTGAAACCTCATAATGTTAAAGAAATGAAGTAACTCCTTTTGAGTGAAATTCTCCCACGGCTAGTGTGGTGCAAAGCTGCTTCTCCTCACTGATTCTATGGGGACAAGTGAAGGTTAGTGGTCTGAAAGCCATACACCAGAGTTCCTTGCATGACAGAATTCTGCATTGTGAAGATGGATATATTTAATACTCTTCCACTTCTGTGACAGGCATATCCATGAAGATTTCATCTCACTTCAGTCTATTCATTTGCAATTTTGACACACAACCCTTCTGGTGAATGTTTGCTGTAGGAAGTTAAGGTGAATTTTCATTCTTCCAAATCTGGAAAGCATCTAAAAAATTGTCTTTTTTTTTTTTTTTAAATTCCTTACTGAAACACCACCTTGTGTGTGTGTGTGTGTGTATGTATGAAATGGCTGCTGCTTTAGCTCTGTGACTTATCTTAGTAATGTTGGAAATCACCTGAAAAGCCAAAAGGGGATCCTGGAACTTGAAATGAAAAATCCTGGTTTTCTGAATGCTTAACTGAAGAAAGGGAGAGGACAGCATCAGGAAGGTTAGAGCAGAAAAGAAGTACTTCAGAAATATGTGTTGGATAAATGAGGCAAAAATCAGACTATTGAGGCCAAATAGCATAGTACTTTAAAACTGTGGAGCTTGGAGGGGAAAACCAAGAGGTGTGTCAGACCAGAAAAGGTCTTTTTCCCAATGTTACATAGACTCAGATGCTGTCACTTTGACCATAGCTTTTTTCCTGAGGTACAGATGGTGATGCAAGTTTAGAGTATGCTGAGATAGCAGAGCTGTGAGAGGGAAGGATTGCTTTAAATCATTGTGGGCTAATGCTTAAAGGCTTATGCTTAAATTGGTACCTGATTTTGTAGCAGATAAAGCAAGTGAATTTAATTCACAGACTGCTGAGGTGTAGTCCTCTTTACATCTTTTCTATGTGAAAAATCTGTGAATTAAGACACTGAGACAACTGGGCATTGATTCTTAGTAAAGAGCGTTGGGATTTTGTGTGGATATGATGATCCTTTTAGCTAACAACAGGTGTGTGATACTTAGTTTGCTGCTTCTTCCTATATAGCCTGGCTGTGGAAGGAGTGCAAACAGGTGACCTGTGGTGAGGACTGAGATTTGCTTTTCTAGCTGATGCAGCCATGGCTGGTATCTGAAATATTATTTTCTCTTGTGCTTTGACTGTTGGGTAGTTTACAAAAAAAAAAAAGATGTTTTACAGAAACGTCTTCCTTCTGTCTTGGAGTACAGATTAGTGTCTGTATCCTGAAAAAATATGTGAAGGAAGCTTTACTTGATGTAATTATGTATGTAGGTTTTGGCCATCATACTAAAACTTGCTAATTGGTTTTGTCTTATTTGAACTTTCTAGCCTGGGGTGCTGTTTAATTCCAGTCAGTGAAAACACTTGAATCCTTTTAAGGGCTCCAGATGAAGTGTAAAACCGTGGCATTTATTCACTATCAGTTGGTCCTGTAGAATTGTTACAGTGTGAGCCACTTAGGTTCAGATTTTACTGTCATTTCTGGTTTGTGTAGCGTCAAATGTACAGGCAAAACTTGCTCTAAAGCACATACATGCTTTCCAAATGCTTATTTTTAACTTCTTGGGTTGAAGAGGAAAGAACAAGCTCTAGCTATGGGGGCTGAAAACAGAGGTGAAATACTTGTCATAGTTCTGCGGTGCAGTGCAAGTACCTGAAGCACAGGCAGCATTTCTGAGCTGTGCCTCTGGCAGTGTGAGGGAGCTGAGCACCCTGTAAGCAAAAGGACTTTCTTTTTCTCCCGTGGGAAAGTAGTTGATTGAAAGGTGAGTAGGAAGCAAGCGAGCACTGGAAAATCCCCTCTGCTTTCTGGCTCCATGACTGACAGAGGTTGAGGTATGCAGGGTTTGATTTACAACCTCTCTGGGAAGCTCGGAAATCTGACAAAGATAGTGCTGCCCACTAACATTAGGGGAAACAGGAAGTTACAAAGGAAACAAGTCATTGCCTAGGCGTCACTTTTGGCCACGGTGCGGTGCAGATGCACAAGCAGTTGGGGCAGGGTTTCTTTTGTGTGTTGAGTGTACAGCAGCTACCACCGTCACTTTCAGCCTTACAGTACATGGAAAGGGGAGAAGCGCAGAGATGTTTCTGTCATGCCTGAGAGGGGTCAGAAGTCGTTAATGGCTTTGTCATCACAAAGGAAACAATTGTTCGGTGAAACTGTCAGCAGAAAAAGTATGTGTCGGTCAGGCATGGTCACCAGGTTAGTGCATGTTTGTGGCTTGTGTTTCTGTCATCATTTCTCTTTAAGGTAAAGAGCAGACTAAAACTAGGAGTAGAATATGGTATCTGGGGAAAAATACTTTTAACTCCTGCAGAAAATTCAGGGGTAAAGAATTGAAGGGGGAAGAGATGAAGCGAATGTTGGTTGAAAATTATTGCCAGGAAAGAAAAGCAAGTTGGTGCAAGTTAGACTGAGTGAACTTATAACAGTGTGTATCAGTCAGGCTTAGGTCTCTGTTCCCTTTGTTCTGTAAGATTTATTTGGCTTTACAGTGTTTGTACTGTGTGATTGATCCTTCTGAGAAACTGTTGTGAAAGGGGATGTTAGAGGCATTAAGAAATAGAATGTTTAACCACAAAAGTAGGAGACGTGAAAGAGCATTTCAGAAATACTAGAGAATGGTTAATAAATGGAAGAGAGACCTGAACATTTAGCAGAAAGCAGTTTTAAGAACAGATGGTAAATATCTAGATAGTTGAATCAGACTGCTACTTTTTGTTCAGAATTGCTGAGAGCACATCGGGGAAGCTTTTATTTTACAATTTTGCTGCATGTAATCTGCCTCATTTTGGCAGATTTCAGATTTCAACCTTCTGTGGAGACTGAAACTTAAGTCTGCATTATACAAGGAATACATTCATTTCCTATGTTACAACTTACTTATAACATTACATATATGTACTCAGAAGGAAACTAGGATCTTGATTTATGTTTGACTTTAAAATAGAATCTAAAGACTAGAGGCTATGAGATACATGGAGTTTAAAAAGTTCTCAGACCTAAGTGTCATAGAGATACTTGTTACAAATTCAGATCAGGTCTGATTTTTGTACTGCAGCATTGGAGTCTCTTTTTTAATTTTTATATCTAGCATGACCAAACTGGGCTCCAAGACAGACTATAAATACTGTTATAGCAAGTGAGAACTTCTAATACAACTTTTGGCAGCTGTAGTTTCAGAGATGAGGTTAATATATTTTTACGCCTGTATACTGCAAGATGTGGAGATGATCACATCTGCCATATGCTCTGCTGAAGTTAAGCAAGAACTGAGGACTCGTGGCTCTTCCCGCATGAAATCTGAGGTTGAATCAGCTTGTACTTGGTTTAATTGGGCTGAACGCCAATAGCTCTTAAGGCCAAAAGCAGTAAGTGCTCTTCTATAATGTAATCCAGATTTCTAATGTGGCAGAGTATTATTTTTACCTGCAGAGGGACATTTAGCCTGTAAAGTTATGCTCTAGCCTCCAATACAGCTATTCTGTATGTGCTGACTGAGGGGATAGGTTAAAATTACTTCACACTTGTGTACTACACAGTAACAGAAGTCTACTCTCCATTTAAAGTTTCAGCTTGGTAAGGGTTTTATGATGCAGAAGAAACTTCTGTGTCTGACTGGCATTATCGAGGTTGCACAAAGGGTGTACTTTTTCATTTTTTCATGCTGTTGTGACTTTTATGGTACTCCATATGAAAACCAGCTCATTGTGATAGTGTTTGAGAAAAGTATACTCGTGATATACTTGGACTGACTTTCTTGATACCTACACTGCAAATGGGTTTGGTTTTTAGTCTGGCAGACCAGTTTATGTATATGAAGTAATTCCAATGGTAATTGTATAAGCTCTGTATCACACTCAAGAGTGCTAACTGCACTCTTCTGCCTTTCCAAAAGCACTGTTGGAAGATGAAGCAAATCCTACGAACTGCTGTTCCACCATTTCTCCTACTACACTCTAAGGCCTATCTTCTCCCTCACAGGCATAGAATTGTCATGGGGATCATCTGAGAAACAGTGATGTAAGGCCTTTTGCTGTCTGCTGCCACCTTTTCTGGTTCAGATGGTTCTGTCCAATGCTGTTTCAGTGGGGGAGAAAGTTGATTCAAGAGCCATTTATAATGGGTTTTGGGGCTTGATGGAAAACGTACTTTACAAATACACATCTAGTCCCTTGGTGAGTGGAAAGAAGAATAAAGTGTGTAGCTACTACTAGAAGCTTGCCCAAAATAATGCATGGGTAATACCACTTTCTGTTTGTAACAGAGGACCAGTGTCAGAAAGAGCATGGCTTGGCTCTGACTGCACTTAATGGGTCCTTTCTGTTAACCTCATTGTTAGCTCCATGGAAGAGGCTCTGCTTATGCACCTGGGGTGAAAACGAGTAGTGAGGTCTTTGGCTTGTGGTGCAAAAATGTAACTGCATTAGAAACAACTTGGAAATAGCTTTCTGTTCTTAATGATCACAGAACCAACAGTCTCTACAATGACTTCAGTGCTTGCTGTTGTATATACCTGGTAATGCAACATTGATCTGCTCTTCATGTAATGCATTAAAAAAAAATATAAAAGGAATATCAAGAGTGAAGGGAAGAATTTCAGCAAGCTGAAGGCAACACATTATAGGCGCTAAGACCAGAAAAATCTTTAAAAGCATCCATTTTCATTCCTCCCACTCCTACTATAAAGATTTGGGGATTACACTGTTTTGACAGCTTTCTCCCAGCGGCTTGATGCAAAGTAGTGTCCTTCTGGAGTTGTAGTGTCAAGAAAAGAACAAAAATCTGCTTAGGACTAGATTCAAAGTAGTACTTAAATGGATTTTAGAAGCCTACCTCAAACATTTCAGTTCAAAATACTAAAGTCCTCCCTATCTGTCTGCAGTGTGTCTGCAAATGAAAGTGCTTCAGGAGCTTACAGATGTGATGGGGAATGCCATAAGCCACAATGAGTTCCAGAAAATAGGCATAAGAGGCTGTTGATCTATTGAAAAGCCTCATGTATTAGGTGGGCTTTTTAGCTCATATAATGTGTATTTGGTTGCGTGGAGTTCAGCCACGTCTCCTTCTATTCACTTAGTGGGGATGGGGAAGTTCTCCGTTGGTCTCTATTTTCAGGACTGTTTTATAGTGAGTAGTCAAAAATAAGAAATGATTATGAATAGAGGAATCAGAACCTCATACTCTGCTGTCATTTCCCCTCGGTAGTCATCACACTGTAGAACTGGATTTATTCCCCACTACTCCTCTGCTTCCATGATTTGAGGGTTTTTATATGTCTGCCTGATATTCTGTTTTTTCAGGAGGAGGAGAAAATGCCCCATCCAGGCATGCTTTAGTGAGTAGCCTAACTAGTCTATCCCTGTACAGAAGGCCAACATGACCTAGTCAGATATTTCTGTTCTATGTATTTACCTAGGGTGGGATACCCTTGTCCCCAGTGTTTGTCATTGGCCTCTCTGAAATCTCAGCTTACTGCTTGTTTTGGATAACCTCACTGAGACATTTAACTCTGCCTCTGCTGGTTTGTATTCAACCTAAGTATGGAACACCAACGGCTAGGTGCTTGAGTTCCTTCTTGTTCTTTGTAGTAAACACACAAAGGATTTGAAGACCCATGATGAACTTGAAACTGTTGGATAGCGTTGAGACTAATGTTAAAGTTAGTTTAAGAAAACTGACATCAGAGTCTGTTTGTCTGAATAAAAAGGTTCCATTTTTACTTAATCTTTTTTCTGAATGTAACTAGAAACAAACTGAAATAACTTAATCATAAATTAATTCCTAATGTTTCAGTGTTGCTAAGCCTGTTCTTAAAAGAAGAAAATGAGCCCAGGACTTCCCTTTGCATTCCTCATTTCAAGGAAGTGACTCTTAGCGGTACTGTAATGGGGTTTGGTGTCAGCAGCCAGCTGGTTAATATTCACCATTTCACAAACTTGGATTTTTCTGCAAGATGTGGGGAAATGATATGAAGAAATTGGGGGTGTATTAACTTTTGTTACTTTTTTTTAATTCTTAAAAGCTTTAAATATCTGTGTGTAGCCCCTTCTTGGACCTTTTAACACAGTGCTGTTGCTAGATATTTCATTGTGAAGGAGAAAGAGGAAGGAACAGATCAGCTTGGAAAGATCCCTATCATATAATAAGAACAGGGAGGAAACAGCAGAAGGAAGGATGTTGCTGATACAAACAAAAGTAACTTAGCTTTTTGTGAGCAGGAGAGTCCTGGAGGAAAATTGAGAAACCATGGTGCCTTGCAGTGTCTCCTGTGAGAACGTTTCTAGGGCCTTGGATCTGATCTTCTCTCCTTGTGCTTGTTTTATAACACTGGGGACTAAAGCCTAATTTTTGTCATTAGGTTTTCTAGGCTGCCCAGAGAATTTAATTGAGTTTAACTTAATTGCTAGGTAATTTCCACCCCTCCCCGCTCATGCGTCATGAGCAAAGGGCAAGCCATTAGGTCAACATCCTGATCTGATCCACTGAAAGATCAATTGAATTGCATTTCTGTTTTTCCTAACACATGTACAATGGATACATACTCTGCTATTGAATTTAATCCCTCAACAAAACTGCATCCCTTGCTTATTCTTTTCAGTATGGGTACTTCAAGTTGCCATCTTATGCTGGAGAGAGTAGTGCTCAGGTAAGTGTGTTGTACTGCGGGCTCTTGGATTCCTGTACTGAGCTACATTATTAACTTCCAGTACTGTCCCTTTGGGGGAAAGGAAAAGCAAACAAGATCCATTAGACTTCAGTCCTCCACTAAAAGCTCTCCAGTGCTAAACCATCATTCCTTTATCAGAAACTAATTAACTGGAACTTCATTAATTTGCCTCTTGACAGCAAAGGTCTCTAACCCTACATGTGAGGATAATGACCCTTTTATGTTTAGGGCAAACTTCCCCTTCAGTTCAAACATTATTTCTTTTCTGTATTACACAGTAGGATTTTTAGCCTAGTTCTGTTACTGGTTGAAAAAAGAAAGGGCTCATAGTGATGTATCAGCCAGGAAAAAACTGCTACTTAAGAAACAATTTTTTTTTGAATTATTAATTAATGTATAAATTAAATAGAAGCCTGCAGCAATGTGAGATGAAATTCATTTGCACAGGATGCTGTCACACATGACATCCAATATTAGACAATATGCTAGTGCTTTCATTTGGTATAAAACGTGTATATAAGCAGTAAGTACTGTTGGTTACTGCAGTTACAAAAATATGACTATTGATTCCCCTAATTATATAGAATATTATATTTCATACACATGTGGCATAGAACTTTGGAGAATAAACTGATTTTCTTGCTAGTTACTTGCCTGATTAAGTCTCACGGTGTTATCTGGAGCATTTTAAAACATAAATACTTAAGTAACATTTACCAAGCACTCCTGCATTGTTTCAACAACTGCCAATCACTTTTGAGAGCTGTATAAAAATAAATCGGGACTTTCTGCACCATGGTTTTTTACACATTACAAACTTCCTGGAATCTCTGAGCACCCGTCTGTGCTACATACTTGACTGCTGAACCATGTTAGTTGTTTGGAAAACTTGTTTAAGGAAACAAGCTTTGTTTCCCAGTACTCATTTCTTGAAGTAAAATCTAAGTTTAAACTGGTTTTAATTATTCTAAATTGCAGAACGATGGCCTCCCAGGAGCAGGTCTGGCCAGTCCCAATGAAGGCAATTGGAGCACAAAACCTTTTGACAATGCCTGGAGGAGTGACCAAATCAGGGTATCTTCATAAAAAAGGAGGCACCCAGCTGCAGATCTTGAAGTGTAAGTTGACTAAACTAAATGTTTTAAATGCTTCCCTTCGGGGCCTTTAGCACATTTCATGTTAACAGACTATTTAATGAAGGTGATCTTCCACTTCACCTATACTGGATTACAGTTTTACTGGAATATATAAATGAAAGACCCATATTGAAAGAATTTCCTTTAATTGTTTTGGAACTGTAAGTCTTAGATGATAAATGTTGTGGTTGGTTTACTTGGTTGAATCTTTTTTCAAGTCCTTCCCAAGTAAGGTTTTAAAGACACAAACACATTCCTGGGGTATGTATCAATTGCAAATATTCTTTTCTAAAAGAAATTAGTACTCAGCTTTTTTTCCAGTTGGTTATTCTGTATTGGAAAAATATCCCCATCTCCTACTGCTGTTGTGAAATAGAAATTTTCTCACTGCCAACATTAGGTTGTGCTTAGAAACAGTAATTGCTTCTGGAATCAGAATCTATTTACATGGAGAAAACTTAAGATTATGAGTTTGTTTATTTATATGCTGTTCATTTGCTATCTCTGTTTATACTTTTATAGTGAAGGACAAAGATTACTGCCTTTGATAAAGGAGAGGAGTGTTAACCCTTTAAAAAAAGGGAAAATAAATCTTCAGGGAGATACCATCATGAGTTCGGGATGTTCATAAATATGTATTTGTACCCTGTGGCTACCTCCTTCCTTCCATTTTGTTTTAGTTTGCATTGTTGCATTAGCTTATTTGTCTAGTAAAGGAGCGCAACTGGAGGTCAGACCTGCAGTCTCTTAGGCTTCTTTTGAAGTTATCAGATCAACTGCCTCTGCAATGAGGGAAGCAGATGCTCCTTTTAGTCCTGAAACACTGTGAGCAGACAGCTTTACCATGCAGCTGATGGTCAACCAGCTGTCACTTAACTAGTTTGTGTTGGCTTATGATTAATAAGATGACTAAAACCTGAAACAATAGTTCTGCCTAAGTTAAGAGGTTCTAGTTAATCTACTGCCTTTGGATTTATATTTTGCTCACTTTCTTTCTTTATCTTTTCAGGGCCATTGAGATTTGTGATTGTCCACGAGGGATGTATTTACTATTTTAAGAGCAGCACATCTGCATCTCCACAGGGTGCATTTTCTTTGAATGGTTACAACAGGTGAGTGCCAAAGAACTTATCTAACGCCCAAGCTCCTCTGCTTAACACAGTGGGGACTATGGTTTTCATTTCCAATGAAGTTAAACAGAACTACAGGTGTTGTTTAGGTTACGCTCTGATCTCAGCCTCCAAGAGTTGTATTCCTTTCAAACTGTACATATGATATGTCCTGTGCTTTGCAACTATATAGCCTTCATCTTTTGTAATCTAACCAGTAAGGCTGTTAAAATTGCAATAGGCTTACTCTTGTTACTGACTTTGTGCAGACTTTGCACATGCAGGTAGATGTGGATTCTTTTGGATAAATTACCTTTGCTCTCTAGTGAATTCAGTGATTGTCCAAAAATAGAAATGAATTGGAAAAGAATATTTATGGAGTTACTGGTTCAGTAACATGTTGTCAAAACTGATTTCAACTACAGTAGTGATAAATGAGAGAATGCATGTGCAAAATGTCTGACTCGTTTGTTACATGTTATAAATCTTAATATTTGCTTTTTAAGTTGAAGACAAAAATACATGGCTTTCATGTTATTAGGAGTACCAGAATCTGACTGAGTGCAGCATAGGTACAAGGCCTACTATTAGAAGCCTAACTTAACTTTAGGAAATTGCTGTTGTAGCTGATGCTCAGAAAAGACTACTGAGAGTATATAAAGAATTATCACATTATTCGTCCTAACAGCAATTTTTTTTCGGTATTTTTAAACATGTAAGTGATCCTTTAACTGTATAATGTTCTCAGACTTTTGCAATAAGGAAGTATCTTTATTAGCCTTCTAAGTGGCTGCAACAATGACACATTTTATGGGAATACAGTTGTAAACATTGTAACTAATTAAAAATTCAATATTAATTTGTATAAGAAACTTGTAATGTAACTTGGCCATGACTCTAGCTTCTGTAATCACGTTGACATGAAAAATACCATGGAATCTGTAGATGCGAGGGACTGTCGCTGCTTATATATATATGCATTCTAGCAGTCTTGTAGAGACTTTGACTGTAATCAGGACCAGATCTTGGTTAGTATTATGCACAGTCATAAGCATTATTGAGAAATCATTTGAAGTGAAAGAATTTGTTAGACTGGGTAGTTGCATAAGGCTGTGTGAAAACAAGTCGCTCTAAGGCTTCCCTGGACTTTTATTTTGCAGTTTTCATTTAATAGATGTTATGTGTGAAGAGTAGACATGAGATGAGAATATGCTGAGTGCACTAATGACTCAAAATGTATAGTGATGCCCATTGCTAGTATCCCTCTCAGCTGTACCAGGGGTATTTCCCACATTAACATCCTTATGAGCCTTACACTAGTCGAAAAGCTTAAAGAGTTCCTTTTGTGCCTTTGTTTTGGACTGGGCAGATGCAGAAAAGTACATCCTCCAGTTTAAAAGGAGGATTGGGGTTCTAAAAAAGAGGTAATTTCTAATTTTGCAGCTTCAGGATGTTAATTAGATTTATTCTTTTTTTCCCCAAAAACATCATCTTGAGTAAGTCCCTAACCAAATGTCAAATATCTCTGAGAATCTTCTTTTCTATGTTCACAAACCATGTTTCCCAGTATTAAGGATTTACGGAAATCCTATATTGCATGAGGAAGTTGGTAAGTTAGAAAAGTTTAGGAACAAGAAAGGAAGACCCAGTAATGATTTGTAAAAGCTTTAATCGGGTTTCTCTTTGGTTTATGTGCAACAAATCTTAGAATTGTTACTTTTAGGCTACCCACAGTCTTTGGATTTTAGTCTCCTTTATTTGTTCCAAAGCGTTACAGAGAGCATCTACAACCAAATTCATGCATATGTAAGGAATTTCCTCATTTGAGACCCCTCTGGGGGAAAAATAATGAGAAACAAACATATCTAGTGCAGTTTGTGAAAGAGGTTGAGTTGTGCTTGGTTTAAAATAATAAAAAAGGTCAAGAAAGTGTAAGGGAAAAGTGGAAAAATTAACTTTTGATATTAGTTCTCCTTTATTTTCATGGAAAAGGCATATTTTGGTTTTTTCATCTCTGCCTTTCTGAAATGCAGATCACAGGCACCTTATATACTTCTTATTGTGGTGTGAAGCTTGTGAATTAATGCAGTTCATTAAAACTATTGAACAGGTTGAAACATCTGTGCTTTGTCCTATCGCCGTTCTTGCGTTGTTCTTTCTACCCACTTCAGTGCATCAGTGCTACAGATGCACCTACGGGGAGTTTTAAGTCTTTCTTCTGGGCTTGGGGATTATTTTTCCTAAGGCAGAACTGGCCTGTAGAACTGCTTTCTGTCAAAGCCTTATGACTTGCATGGCAGAAATATAGATGAAGGGTTTCATGTATTGGTGGTTCTGTTTCTCAGGGTTATGCGGGCAGTTGAGGAGACGACATCAAGCAATGTGTTTCCTTTCAAGTTAGTACACATTAGCAAGAAGCACAGGACATGGGTTTTTTCAGCTTCTTCTGAAGATGAAAGAAAGGTAACTTCTTCTTCAATTTTCCTTGAAGCAGAAAGTGAATCCTGGACTTCTATAAAATCTAAATGAACTGGATACTCAGCTGTATAGCTGTATAGCTGGTTCTTTTGTCTCCTCTGAAAATAATTTCTGAAGTTTTAACTATGAAGTTTAGTGTTAGTTCAGGTTGTAATTTAGGGACTGGTTGTAAGTGACATATAGATGACATGGTTTTCTCCTTATTCTTTGTTTTATTTTTAGCCAAGGAACAAATTTTTGTATGTTAAACATTTGATAAAGTATGAAACCTTTTCAGTGAGATCTCTCACCCATAGACATACAATGAACAAGCACCTGGCTTTAGAAAGAACAGCTTGAAATTTGCAGACTAAAAGTTTAATATATTTAATATGTTTAATATACGTTCTTATAGCACTTTAGAACATTTGACTGGTAAGTCCTCTCAATGTAAAGGATTCATGGATGTATCCTATTTCAGGATAGGTTCTTTACAGAGTTACTCAGTTCTTACAGAGGATGGATACTATAAATCTTTGTTTAACAATTTAAAGATGCTTGTGTTGAATGTTGTTTGGTTGTTTTTTTTCTTATTTAGAATTGGATGCTATCCTTGAGGAGGGAAATTGATCACTACCATGAGAAGAAAGAAACAATAACAGAATTCAGGTATAAATCCGTAATCTCTATTTGCTTTTTATCCCTTTTGCTCTAGTTCTTGACAGTGGTGCTTTAGGCTTTTTGCACCTACAAGCAATTTACTGTTAAACCAAAACAAGTGCAGTAAGGCCCAAGAATGAAAGGCCTTCCTAATACGTAGTTTAAGTAGTACTAAGACAAAACCAGATCTTTTTACTAAGAGAACTTTAAATGTCAGTTTTGTGTAAAACACATAAAAACTTTAAAAAGACAGTAGCAACATATCTGGCTGTTAATTGGGAATGAGGAATAGGTCGCTTCTGCTTTTCCAGCATTCCTTTGCAGTGCTGCTGTCCTCCTAACATGCCTGTTTACTGTCCCAGTACCCATAGCACAGTGATGCAGAAGGTACTCTGTTTTTTCTTTTGCAGTGACTCTGGTTCCGATGCAGACAGTTTCTATGGCTCAGTAGAACGTCCCATTGATATCAAGTATTCTCATCATTCAGCAGATAATGAAGGTGATAAATTAAGACACAATAAATAAGATTTACTTGCTTGCTTATTTCTTCTGGATTCTGCAGGAATTATTCCCATAGCTTGAGCAAACTGAACTAATTTGCAACTATAAATTTTTGTTTTTGCAAAGTATCTAGTTGTTGTAATTTTAAATCAGAATCAGTTGTTCTGTGCCATAAAATTAGTAAAAATAAATGGTAACTAAAGAAATTCAGATCTTTCAAGGAGGTGTCTGACAGCCTTTGGCAGTATGGTCTAGTGTGAGGCATCCCTGCCCATGGCAGGGGAGTTGGAACTGGATGACCTTAAAGTCCTTTCCAACCCAAACCATTCTGTGAGTCTATGATTCTTTATTGGGATGATGTTGTTGCCTGTTTAATATGAAACAGAATTCATCCCTGCGGTTTACAAAGATCTTGCATTAGGCACGGGATGTGCTTCTGTGAAATGCACAGGGAAATGTTCTTTGGTGACTTTTAAACTGAGTAACTTTTCAAAGTAGGGCTCTGAATGTCTGATTCTTAGCATAGCCTGTTTTTAATCAAAGTTTGTTACTTGTTCATTGCTGTAGTTGTTTCATAGTAAGCAGTTTGGGCTGGGTGTGTTTATTTTTTCATCACAAGTGAGGACATTACAGCAAGCCTGTCAGATAAATGTTCACAACATATTGCAGCTACTGACTTCCTAGTCAAGAAAAGTGCTACTACAAATCAGCATGAGAAGCCTCGCCGCCAGGTTCAACGTAGTTCCTTTACTAGGCCATATCCCACCTGCCCCTTCAGATTTCTAAGCGCAGGGTCAACTGGAGCAAGTACTCTCATTTCCTGACAGGACATTCCTGACTGTTCTTCCTGACTAGGACATAAAGGCAGGAGTGAATCTTTTCATGAAATCCGGTTCAGTTGCTGCAAAGCTGAGGAGAACAGACTCGGCAGCATTTCATGTAGGACTGTGATTTAGTACTTTGGTGTTTCTGGGAGGGAAAGGTTATGTGCAGTGCAATAGGGTGTTGAGTTAGGCTCCTGTATTGCAAAATCTAAAAAGTTTTTGGTTTAGGGTTAGGTTTTGGGGATTACTTTTTTTTCAACTGGATTTGCCAGTGCATCCATCTAGTTGTATCTCTGCAACTAAGTAGAATTGTTCTCAGGAGGGCTATTAACAGTAGAAGGTGTCACCAGAAAGTAAATTTTAAGCTGATAGATGAGGAAAATGTAAAATGAAGTCTAGCTCATCTCCCACTGTTGTAAGTGATGGCTTTTTTGAACTAACAAGAAAAATTAAGGAAACATCTTTTCTAAGTAGCAAAGAGATGGACCAAAATTATTCTTTTTTTTTTTTTACCTCTTTAAAAAAAAAAAAAGAACTGAAAATTACTTGATTATGAAAAAGCAAAAAGTACTCAGTACTCTTTCATGGTTCCAGGAGTACTTAGTCTGATACACTGATTTTTATTTGCAGATTATGACCAGGAGGAAGAGGATGAGTCTTACTTGCAGCCAGATACTTCTGATATAGTAAAAGATGGTATGTGATTCCTTTCATTCCCTTCACAAAAGGCTCCCAGTGAAGGCACTATTCATGTAGAATGCCAGATTGGCTTGGTCATATCTAAAGCACTGCAGGTGGTAAAATAACAGAGGCAATGCACAGGTATCTAATCTTGAGAGGTATTTAGGGTCAAAAGTTCCTAGTAACAGCACAAACAATTACAGGGAGTGTTACATGCCTTAGGGCATGTTTTCTTGCAGGCCTTCTGCCCTGGAAGGTCCTGTGTCTGGCCATCAGTCTTGAGGAGGGGTAGTGCTTTTAATATGGTCTCTCTGGTCAAAGTCATTGTGACCCATCCCTGAATAGAAATTGCAGGAGTTTCCTACATAAAACGTTCAGAATTGTGCTGGAAGTTAAATGTTTGTCCAACATTTGGGTACTGTCAGACCAGATGCCAGTGAAGTATCTTAAACCACGTAGAAAATGAATCTGAAAAGTCTCATTTCTTGACATACTGTATTTCCCCTCAGTGTGTAATGTATTTTGGATGTTTTCTTTCTGTAGATATGGTCCTGCCCCCAGCCTACCCACCTCCACCAGTTCCTCATGTCAGAAAAGCTCCCTACTCAGAGTCAAGGGCAAATTCCTTTCCTGGCAAATCTCCTGTGCCAGTCCCACCACCACCTCCAAAAAGAAGCTTACCTGATATCAAATTAGAGGATATCTTAAGCGTGAGAGAATCTCAGTGCCGAGCTGAACCTAATCTAAAGATCCAACCCTCGACTCGAAGGCTCAGTGAACAGCTGCCCCCTGTACCTCCTCTGCCTCTACTCAAAAAGACTCTGGGTATCAAAGAACCTTGCTCATCGCCTCCAGAGCCTGTGCCTTTAGGTCAAGTTCTTGCTACTCCAGAAGGGTGTGAGAAGCTAAAAACCTTAAACCTTTCACAACGAACTCCTCCTCCACTACCGAGCCATAAACCCAAGCTGTCACAGCTTGCTGAAAAACCAGTAGAGCCCAGAGTGCCAAGAGAACACAGTAAACCTGGACTGTTTGTGCCACCAGTGCTCCCAAAGCCACCTGTACCAACCCACCAGCCACCTGCAGTCAAGCCTAGACCTGAGAAGTTTTCATGTCCCCAGTTACAGTAAGTATGAAAACACAATGCACTATTTTTTCCATTGTGCATTAGGTAACTAGCTGACAGACTGATTTCTCATGTTCACATTGACATCTGTTTCTCTCCCCTGCTCCATCCCTCTCTTCTTCAGTGTTATGCTTTTTTGCCCCTATTGCATTGGGCTGAGCTTCTGAAATAGTTCAGAAAGAAATAGGAAACAAAGCAAACTTAAAAAAATACACCAAAATTTTGTAGTTCATTTCTTTTCAGGTGTGTCTTAAAGATTTAATAGCCTTTGGTCACAGCTCTTTATGTCAGAGCCTCAGTGAACTGCAAAAACAATTTTAGGCTTCTGTGGAGACAGGAAATGTTTCATTTCATATTAAGATCAGGGAGGTGTAACTAGTTATGGTGGTGAGTCAGATAAAAATATTTTTGTTCACAGGATCATTTAGAAGCTCTGAAGAACAAATAATACGTTCTCTAAGACAGTACAGGGAAGACACTGATACACTGGAGTGAGTCCAGTGGAAGGCCAGGCAGATGTTTGGGCTATAGCACAAGATTCATGAGAAGAGGCTGAGAGAATTGGACTCATGCAACCTTTAGGAAGGCTAGTGGGAGATCACTGCTGTCTAGAACTACTTAATGGGTGGGTGTGGAGAAGGCAGAGTAAGACCTCAGAGGTCTGCAAGTGATAAGGGTAAGAGGCAACAGGCAGAAGTCACAACCTGAGAAATTACAGTTAGATGTTAGGGAAAGGTTTTCACCATGTGGCTCGTGAAACACCAGAACAGGTTGCTGGTGGGAAAGCTGTGGCATTTCCATCCTTGGAGATATTCAGAACTTGACTGGACACAGCTTTCTGAGCTACCTGATCTAGTTGGACCAGCTTTGTGCAGGAGCTTGAACTAAATGATCCCTAGAGGTCCCTTACAATTTACATTAATCTGTGATTGCCTAAATTAATCTGTGAGTACTGTGCCCAGCTCGGGGGCTCCAAACATAAGGATGTGGACCTGTTAGAGCAAGTCCAGAGGAGGTCATAAAGATGATCAGAGATGGCACACCTATCCTATGAAGACAGGCTGAGAGAGCTGTGCTTGTTCAGCCTAGAGAAGAGAAGGCTCAGGGGAGACCTTAGAGCAGCTTCCCAGTACCTTTAAGGGTCCTGCAAGAAATCTGGAGAGGAACTTTATACAAGGGTATGTAGGGACAGGACAAGGGGGAATGGCTTTAACCTGACAGAGGGAAAATTGAGATTACATATAAGGAAGAAATTCCCTGTGAGGGTGGTGAGGCACTGGCATAGGGTGCCCAGAGAAGCTGTGGCTGCTTTGTCCCTGGCAGTGTTCAAGTCCAGGCTGGATGGGTCCCTCAGCAACCTGCTCTAGTGGAAGGTGTCCCGGCCCATGGCAGGGGGTTGGAAATGGATGAGCTTTAAGGTCCCTTCCAACCCAAACCATTCTGTGATTTGGGGGCTAAACTGAAACTTTTTCTTCAGTTCTAATTTTATTATCCCTTTGGTGGTGTTTCTTTTTTTTTTTTGTATATTTGTTCTGTTTTCCTGAGGAGATGTCCTTCAGTTTTTGTTCTCTTTCTGCCAGGAGATCACCACCAGATGGACAGAGTTTTAGAAGTTTCTCATCTGAAAAACCAGCACTGTCCCCCAAGCCAAAGCAACCTGATGATGATTCTGATGATGACTATGAAAAAGTAAGAGCAAGCAAATGATCCATTCTCAAAGAGTTGTTTTTTTTTTTTCTTGCTTATGTGCACTTTTGGGAAGCTTTTAAATGCATTTTCAGGGGGGAGGAACCCCCACTTTCTGAAAATACAGTGCTGTGGGGGGTTTCTTGGGGGGGAGGTTGAGCTTTCAAGAATGCCTTGATAAATTCTTGATTTTAATATAGGATATAAAGGAGGAAGAAGAAGTATAAAGTAAAGATTAAATCACTGTTAATAATTTCAAATGGTGATGGCTGTAGCTTATTTGCATGACATGTTAGAATTTTGACTTGTCGTTGACTAACATGGGGACTGATTTTCTTCATATTTCTTACAGGTTGGGCTGCCTGCTTCAATATTTCTTAATACCTCTGAATCCTTCGAAGTTGAAAGGTAAAATATGACTTTAAAGTAGTTGCTTAGAAGTCGTACAATGTACAGATCAGTAGTCCAAAGAGCATGTTGATAGGTACAATTTGTGTTTAAAATCATAAAATTCCTTTAATGTGGGAATCACTCTTTAGGGGAGTTAGCTTGGTGCTCATGTGTCAACTGACAACTTGCAAAGTGATTTTTACTCCATCTGGAGAAGGTTCTTCTGCCAGGGTGCTTGATGGGACAGAAAGACAGATCTGTACTGCATTGCTGGTTTGGATTCTGGAACAGTGAAGTTCTTCCAGCTATGATGTACTGTGGATTATTGCAACTGAAATAGAGATTTAATAAGAATTCTAAGAATGCAAGCATTTTACCTGTCTGATTCAGAACATGCCAATACATATAATTGCTGTTTTAGGACATTTAAAGCTAGTAGCCCACGGGGACAACCACAGAATGGATTGTACTGTATTAGGAACTCATCTACCAAGTCTGGAAAGGTAACTTGCAATTGCTTAATCTATCCCTCAAAACCCTTTTTGATTTATAGATACTGTATATTATATATGATAAAGTACTTAAAAATACAGCTGTGCTCTTTTCTTAAAGCAAGAAAATCTGAGACAATCACTATCATAACATCAGTGATTTTAATTCTTTTAATCTGGATTGTAATTAATTCCTTAATAATACATTGATTTAGAAGAGCTTATTAGCACAGACTGAATATGGTGTATTTTTTCTCCTTCAAGGTATTGGTTGTGTGGGATGAATCTGCAGAAAAATTGAGGAACTACAGAATCTTTGAAAAGGTTAGTAGCTGCACTGTGTGGGCATGTGTAATACATGTGTATACAGGTATGAATTCCATGTATATGTGCATATAAAGTTTGCATGTGTATAGGTATATATCAGAATTAACAAAGTCTAAACTTTTTCCCATTCCCGAAAGTAAAAATAAGCTGATTCAGAAGCACTTGGTCAAAGATGAGAGTTTGAGGACTTGGATCTGGGCTTTCTAGTTGCTGTATCAGGCAAAAGACAAATCAGCTGTCAGTTTTCACATCAGAATTTCAGCTCCAGTCAAATCCTAAAAGAATATTAAATTCCTGAGTTAAATTTGGACTTCTTTGTGTAAGTGACTGGTTTGCAAAGCAGTAGCTTGTTTGAAAGAACTTCTTAGTTCTGATGAGGATGTTATGGGCTTTATTGAAACACTGAGTTGGAAAAATGATTGTCAATCATTACATACATGTGGCTTGTTTGTTTGTTTTACGCCAGGATTGCAAGTTTTACCTGGATTCAGACATCATGTTTTTGAACATGGGGAGTCTGGTTGAATACTACAGCACTCATGTCTTACCTAGTCATGACAGCCTGATTCTTCGGTGTCCTTATGGTTACTCTAAGCCAAGGTGACATGACTGGCATACATTCTCTGCTGCCCTTGAACGAGATGTGGACTCCTGCCATTGCTGGACATCCCATTGTTTGCACACAGAAACTGAGTCTGTTTCAACCACTTATTCTCAACTGAATTGTACATAACCTCCATTTAATGAACTCTCTGTAAAACCTTACAATCCAGATCAGTGGATTTCATGGTATTTTAAAAAGAGCTGAAGTGATTACGCTGTGAAAACTTCCCGTGATACCTACACCTTTTATGAAACTGCTGCTATTAGTAATCTCCTTGGAATGTAGAAGATGGACATGAACAAAGAAGTGGTCTGAATACAACCCATACAGAAAAGGGAAACTTCTGAAAGTGTATCAGAATTTGCTTGTGACAGGGAATACTAATACTCTGACTTGAAGGTATTACTCCTTAAGTCAGCACTGGTGCTCAACTGAGAAGTTTTGTATTACTTGTATAGTTGACGTGTAAATAATGAAGACTTCTGTGCAAATAATTTGGTTTACCATAGGTAAAGATGGATCAGGAAATGTGGCTATTGTTTTTTAAGCCATGTCATACATAACCACATAAACCTTCAGATGACGATGTCTGCAGTAATCAGTATCAGTAGGGTACTAGCCAGCTGATAGAGCTGTGGCATCCCACAGGCTGGTTTGTTACATGCACTTCAGGTGGGTTGATACTGATTCGACTTTCCTGGGAGCCCCACTGCTTAGTTCTGAACTGGAAGAGGAGATGCCGCTGGTTTTAATGGGTATGAGGAAAGAGAAAGGACTACTTAATTTTAAAGGGGAAGGGAAGGAGTCTTGTGAATACCCCAGATTGTGGTCAGTCTCTTGGGCTCAGATTGTGAGCCCGCTGCACTCTGTGCTGTTCTAGGGCAAACACACTGCCTTAGTCTGCTGCTTGTAGATCACCAATAATTTTTCCATTATTAAAATTGCTCTTTGTAGTTGCATGCAAATAAAATCTGTTTTTAACATACTATCAAGCAATCACTGATAGGCATTTTCAGGGTGCTTGTGATACTCATTCCATAATATTTCAGGAACAGGTATCCTAAAACCAAGGGCTTGATATTTATGCCAAAATTACCTTATTCCTAAATTTTAATAAGAAGAATAAATTTATTTTAATGGCCTCTTAAGTAACTGATTCAAAGTTGTTATGGGCTCATACTCTAATAATGTTTACAAGACTTGTAATTCTGTCACTCCTGAAGCAGAAGAAGGAATCTAGTTTCCATCAGCCTGAATCTGTACCCATAAACTTCACTTTTTCTATTACCTTTTCATATGTTGGTTTTAGTCTTGTTGCAGTTAGACGGTCACAGCTTTGAAAACATCAACAAAACCATTACAGAATAAGAATTTTCTGTTTATGAAAACAGTAAACCAGGAGTTAATCCTTAAGGGGTTTTCCTTAATGAACAGATGCAGCATTAGGACCAGACATAGGAATCAAGACAAGAAACTCTGTCTCTGCCTTTTTCAAGTGACACAGACATATGCAATGTCAGCCTTTTGATCTGTGTCCCTGCTGTAGTAGGTTTTATGTGCATAAAGAATATGCAGTACTTAAATGTCAGACTCTGGTGGTAATATTGGGTATTTTGTTTCTAATTACTTCTATTTTAAAGGAGAATCCCTGTCGTTCATACCCTCATATGAATCCACTCTCTAAAGAAGGCTCAGCCAACAAAGCATTTAAAAACTGGCTTCAGCATATCAATATACGGATATCAAAGCAAGTTCTAGTTTCTTGCAGTATTTATACCTACTGCTTACAGAGTACATTTTTCTCTGGGAATAACTGACTTCACAGTGTTGTGACGGTTAAACTCACACTATGTCTGGGGCCCTGCTCAGATATTTACTTCTTTTTGGCAATCATATACTCTTTTAAGATTTTTAAACTGTAAAAATACTTATGTAAACTAGTACCTATAAAACATAACACTGTCTAGCTGTGTAATACAAGATTTGCAAATATGTACATGTTTGTGTTAATATCCTATTTTTATATGAATGTATATATTTCTGAAGTGGATAAACTTTCAATGCCAGTTCACCAAATTCTGTGCAGTTGTCTTTAACTTCATGGAGGGGAGAGGGAGGGCTCATGCTTTTGTAGTTGTGTTGACTAGTGCTGAATTCTTCTGGCTGTGAAGTTACATGAATTAGTTTCTAACCCCCCCCGAGAAGCAAATCTTCGTGTAAGCAGCACTATCAGAAATTGAGCATTCTGGTCATCAGACTGTGTGGCTGGGGGTGGAAATGACCTTTTTCCATTTACATCAAGGTTTCTTGAGTGCAGGCTTGAGGACTGCAGCAACCACCTTATCTACATGCACACAATGCAAGTATAGCCATAATAAAAGGAGCATCTCGGAGGGACAGAGAAATCTAAGTCTCCAAAGGTATACTTCAAGAGCTTGCTTGAGGAAAGAGAATCTTCCTGCTCCCCAGCAGCAAACAGGCCTCCTGCTCAGAAACATCTGTGTAACCTGGTGTGTTTACATCTGCAGGTTAGTACAAGTACAGCAGGCTGACAGCCTGGTAGGTTTACACCTTAGACATCTCCAGAGTTTAAAGTAGGGAGGTATAGATAAGAACGTGCTGGGTAATTCCCTCATCCCTCCAGAAACAGGTAGAAGGATTCCAGACAAATTTGCAATTGCTTATGCTCTCTCTTCCAAGTCATCTTGCTCCTGCACACTAGTCTGTTCTGTGCAGAATTAGATGCAGTTAAATATCTGATGTTTGTAGAGAGCACAGCTTGATCGTGTGGCTCAGTCTGTCTCCTACACCTCTTGCTAATCTGGCTCTCCTCTTTCCTTCCCCACAAATAGGCCTTCTGCATCTATAACCTCCTGCAAGCTCTGTAGCTTTAAAACAGTTTGTGGAGAAGTGTAAAAGCAGTATTTGGTGTACCAGGAAAATGCAGTTTGTGAGTTTTAACAATACCCAACTCAGTCATTGATCCTAGTTTGGAAAGGTCTTGCCTCTTAGATCTAAACTCCCAAGAAAGACCGTTCCAGGTGATGCTGGGTGTGGTGGTGGTGGTGTTCTTTCAGGGGAAATATATTAAGGGTGCTTCTGAAAAGAAAGATTTCAACAAGGGGCTGTCAATCAATAGGCAGTGTATTGTAACAAGTAAACCCAATCTTTCTACAATAAGGGCGCTTTGTGCCAGCAGTGAAGTATTCCCTAGCTCAAAACTTCGGGTTTTACAAGAAGGTAAATAAGCAGCGAAAGTATTGGTGGCCTCTGGTGTGCTGGGCTGTGGCACGTTCAAAAGGATGCCAAAGATTTCTGAAGCTGTAATCAGTTATTTTGAATCTGGGGACATCTGCTGGTCAGGTCAGGCTGTTCAATGCAGAGATTCCAGCAACGGGAATACGGAGTGTACAAGTCATCTGGGTAGAAATCAGTCTTGCATGACTTCAGATAGAAGTTGGAAATGAAAGCTTAACTTGAGGTGGCAACTTGATGGGCCAGTTCTTCGAAAGGTAAGATATCTTCTGGCTTGTCTTTCTTATACACGTAGCAATGTTGTTTAGCAAAATTACTCATTTGAATGTCTTTTAATCTAGATGATAATAAAATGAATTTTATGCTAATGCATTTAAATTATTCTTAAAATATACTTTGAGGTAGAATTTACATAGTGGACATTTGAGCACTGCCTAAATTATCTACATGGTGCAGTATTAAAGTTAGTCTGAACACTAAACAGTTAAGTTCGTCTCAACATGAAATACTTCTCCTAGCAGCAAATCTCATGATGTTGCAATAGTTTCTGTTACTAAACAGCCAACTCCTCGATGTCAAGAAAGTTACTATCTAGCAATGGGAGTGCTTGAGATAACTGTGATTACAACCCCTTAAAGACGAGAGCTCATAGTACTTTTACTATAAATACTCAGAGAACTAAAGTCCCAAATAACAAAGGCTACTAAAACTTTTACATCAGGTAGCATTTGAGCTCATGTTAAAATCAGATGAAGTGTGGGCTTAGGGTATGTAGTAAGCCTCATAGCATAGCCAACCCCAAAATCTATTCCTTCAGGACTTCCATTCCTGCATGTTAATCACAGGATGGTCTCTGCTACCCCACACCTGCACCGCCTTCCTTACAGCATCTCCTTACCAGGGAAGTGGGTGACCCAAACTCTTGCATTCATGACATAGCCTTAATGGGTGTGTAATCATAGAGATCTCAAAAGACTCATTTTTAACATTGTTTTACTCACACCTATCTCTACTGGAACTGGTTTGCACAGAAACGACAGTAATAATTGCTTGCGGGGTTAGAGCTGTAGATATATAAACCCAGGGAACAGCACCAAACTCTTTTTTGAGTCACCACTTCTGCCTTTTAACAATCACTTTGCACCAACTCCCCCTCTGTACAGTCCTGGCACAGCTTGTTCTTGCCCTGGGAGGCTGATGGGCACTTCAGTTCTGACCTTGAAAGCTTTTTGCACGGACTGAGCCTTGTGCTAGTACAGAAGCTGGTGATTTAAAAGATGATCTGGAAGGTCTGCCAACAGCCCACAGGAAACAGAAGGGTCTCTTCCACGTAAACTTATTAAAGGGTTTTATTCCAGGCTGAAGAAGAAAGATGTGAGGTGTGGCCTCACAAGCTGTCTGCTTCAGACTCCAGTGGTTATTAATTTGCACTGCACTAGCATTCATTATTTACTTTCTCAGTGAAGTTCCAGCCACAGCCCAACCACGGGAGTACTCCTGAAATGTGCCTTTAAAAATTAAACACAATTCAAAGGAATTCAAAACATGATATTCTAAGATTACAAAGCTTCTCCCAACATTAATTACTTTTCTCCTGTATATAACAATGATTAAAATATTAAATACTTTATAATATTTTTCTTACATTTCTCAGCACTCCTCCTTACTTTGAACTTGCCCGGGTACCTTTTTTTCTTTTTCCATTCTTTGTTTCTTTCTCCTGGGGCTGTTTTCGGTTCTAAAGTTAGTTCAAAAGTTCTAACTTCTGTTAAAAGCACTTTTCCTTCTCCTCTGAAGGATGAGGGTGTCATTAGGGAGCAGCTAAAAATGATCTCAGCAGCTGTCCCGACACTGGAATTGCTACAGAAGCAACTCCCAGAAAACATACATCTTAAAGGTATGTGATGCTCAGGAAGTCATCCATACAGCAATTAAAAGAATCAGCTCTACTTGGAAAAGGATTTTAGAAAAGCTAACCCAAACCTCCATAGAGTGTTGTAATGTTAAAACCATTGGTTGCTTGAGTTCCTTTTGGCTGAAGCAATCGTTGCACCTTTAGTTGTGTTTAATTGAACCTGTTATTAACAAGCTTGAACCATGAAGCTAGATTTACGTTTAGTCTCAACTGTGCAGAATAATTTCCCTACGTCCCCCTGAGCATAAAGTCAATATTTGTCAATCTTAAAGCCAAAGTGGCCTCTCAGCTGAACAGTGCATAAAATCTGGCAACATTTAGTGTCAGCCTGTTCCAGCTGCTCTGCCCTTTCCCACCTGCTGCTTCAGTTTTCTTTTTTTTTATGTTTTTTACCTCAAATAATCCTCAGATGTGTTTTTGTTTGGTTGTGGAGAAAGATGAAACAGATCAGAATACATTTAATTTTTACCTTCCATGTGGTTGTTCTATCAAATATTTCTTGTGTGTGTATATATATATATGTACATTAAAGATTGTTCCCACATACTAATTTCAAATCACTGGAGAAGTTCTCCTTCTTTACACAGAACATAGAATGGTTTGGGTTGGAAGGTACCTTAAAGATCATCTAGTTCCAACCCTCCTGGTAGTAACTAGTTACTAATAGTAATGCTCCTTGCGTGTAAGCCCACCTCTGCCACCACCAGCAGTGTGTGTACCAGGTACCAGGGACACACACAGCACTTCCAGGGTAATTCGTAGAGAGAATTTGTGTTTTCCTACACACACCATCCCACCACGCCAAGTCTGGTACAACTACTACAGTATCAGCTTTTATTTTGCTGGCACCTGACATGGAAGTTTCAACACCAAGACTCCCCTTTTGAAGGCCTATGGGAACAGCAGCAGAAAAATCACGTAGTGGCATTGTTTTGTTTAAAGAAACCAGAACTTTGTCCAGGAAGTGCAGTAAAAAGTCTCTGTGAGATGAAAACAAGTGATCACAGCTGGGAAGCAAGTCCTGCCTGGTCAATAGACTTTCCATGGCTCTGACAGGCCAAGAGGGAAAGATCTGTTTTGATCAGGGACTGTAGTGATAGGACAAGGGGTAATGGGTTCAAACTTCAACAGGGGAAGTTCATGTTCAGATATAAGGATGAAATTCTTTCCTGTGACGGTGGTGAGACACTGGCACAGGTTGCCCAAAGAAATGGTAAATGCTCCATCCCTGGCAGTGTTCAAGGCCAGGTTGGACAGAGCCTTGGGTGATATGGTCTAGTGTGAGGTGCCCCTGCGCGTGGCAGGGGGCTTGGAACTGGATGATCTTAAGGTCCTTTCCAAACCCAAACCATTCTGTGATTCTGTGATACTGTCATTCCTAGTCTGTAGGTAACAAAACTGACCTGGAACTGCTTTTGTAGAATGAGTGTATCACATATAAAGGAAAAGATAAATGTCATGACGCAAGATATGTGACATTAGCCTACTGCTGTGCTTCTCACAGGTAGCTGTAAAGTTTGGTCATCAAGGAGCACTAAAGCCAGGTAAAGAGGTTGGTTGTGTAAAAATAATTGTACAGTCTTATTTTTCTGATACCTAGTAAAACCAAACTAAAATAATGTATAAATAAATACACTGGTATTGACTCTCTTACTTGAGATTGTATGATGCGAGTTGAGCCCAGAGCCTGCCGAGGAAAACAATTTCCTGTGGAGCAGTCAGCAAGCTGAACACCTATACCGACCAAACAACACCACGCTGGTAAGAGCTAACAGACAAGTTCTTCATGTCTTAAAATAACACACAAGTGCTTTTTCAGATTGTCCTTGATGCCTTGTTTCTGCATACAGTGAACTGCTTTAGTACCTGTCAGGGTATACATGTCCTCCCCTCTGTTTCTACCCAT